GGGGTTTGGGTTTTTCCCCCCCCCCCCCCCCCTCCTTTTTTAACCAGCACAGTTTTTCAGGGAAAACTTGATTTACTTTTTGTCTTCAAGCACAAAAAATAGCCTTATCCCAAGAAGCTTCAGGTCAGATGTGAAGCTTCATGTAAGAACATGCCACCGTGTAGCTCCACATTGCTGGAGTCTCTAAAGGCTTACACATTCTTTGTTAAGCTTCTGTTGCTTTTTTCCCAAGCCCTCCAATGCCCTTACCAAGGAGCAAGCTGTGGACCCCCCGCTGCCTTACCCTGAAGAGTTGAAACCGGATGAGTTCATTGCAGCTTTGGAGTTGCTCTGGGCTGTGCCGGGGCTGGTGGCATGGAGTGCACTGCCAGGGGACGAGGGCCTGCTGGAGTTCCCTGGGGAACATGATGATGTTACTGCGTAGCAGAGAAAGCAGAATAAGGCTGGGATCTCCTTTTCCTGCCAAGGACAGGCCAAGCCTGGACATCTCCACCACCTTGTACCCATCCTGTTGTTCATCTGATCCACTGTCTGCCCTGCAGCAGCAAGGCAGGGTCTGTGCCCAGCCACAGAGAAGCCAGGGGTCTCCAGGGCTGCTCTCTCTCTAGCACTCGGTTTCTATTTGTGTGAATCACACTTCTTGAAGGAGATCTGACAGTGTTCTGCTGAAGAAATACGGTGACCTACCCCCAGGCACTCCTCTTGTTTGGCTTCTAGGTGTGCCTGGCTCCCAAACCTAAACACCCCAGTAAAATTTGCATAGGATAATCACGGGAATGTTACCATGTCCAGGAAGCTTTCCATGCTTTTGTTCCAGCTAAGAGAAAGACTCTGCTGTTCTTATCCCTTGTGTACACTAGGTATGTGGGGATACTTTCCCTGGCCAAACCCAAGGGTCTTCTTCAGAGTGGCCTGCAAATGTGGCCTAAACCCCACGCTTCTAGTCAGAGAGCAAGAGAGGAAGGAGGAAAAGAGTGGTGAGCGAGGCAGGTTTCTCAAGGCTTACCAGTCCCAGGCATGGTGCTATGCACTGGATTGACAGAGAGGGGCCCCAAGGACCCTGAGGTAGAAACCTAGAGAGAAACAGAAGCAAACAGTAAGCAGTTGGCACTATGGGAGTATAGATCATGAAATGCCACTCCTTTCACGTTCCCTTTAGAGTGTGTGGGCTCCAAGGCAGATTTCTTATCTACATCTGAGGCTCCCACAGGTATTTCTATTCATACTCGATTGTAGAAGCACCATTTTTATATCCAGGGCCATGCAAAAAAATCAGAATGAGTATTACATATGCCTGGCACTCTCTACACAGATCTAAATTTATGGATAAGCTGTGGAAAATCCTGAAATTATCAAATGGAAGCCAAACTTGCTGTAAGTCCTGAGATCCCATTCGTAGGAGCCACTACCCTTTGGATGTTTCAGGCTGGATGTTCCTCATCAAAAACTTCCCAGCTCACTCTGGTCTTAGGCACAAATAGTCCCTTCTCCTTTAGGGAGTTCTTGATGGGTGAGAATTCTCAGGTGACAATTAGTAATTTGGTGGCTGCAATCAAAGCGAGCCTTGGGCATTTGTTGTTCAACCATGGTACTTTAACTACAGGCAACACTGTTCATTGTTCACTGAACATTGTTCAGAATGACTGATGAGCAAAGGCACACTTTGTACAATGCATTCACAGGAAAACTATTCACCAAAGCTACTGCTTTAAAAATTCATGGCTTGCAAGCAGCCTTTTGTGTTTGTGACTGAAGACCAAACGTGTTGTGCAACAAGTGACCAAACTCCCTGTGATGTTTTCCTGCCTTCTGATGGATAATTCCAAAACCCAGAAGATTTCAAGATAAAATACTGCTTGCGAATAAGTACTCTCCCTCCCACTCACATGTGCTCCAACACTAACAACACTGCAGGGAGGCTCCTGCCACTTTTATATGTGGAAGCAACTGTTAACCAACAGAACTGCAATAGTAGCTTGTTAGCCACAGTAGCCACTGACAGTGGCTTCCTGGCAGTGAAAATACGCTTGCCAAAACGTGATTGTACAACATGAGAGAAGGACAGCTAGCACTACTGGAGTGTATTCTGCATTTCTGCACGGAGGCAAGACAACAAACTGACATGTAAATGGTTACCACTGGGTCTCAGAGTTACCCAGTAAATTGACATGAGTGGATGTAACTCTGGTTCCATGGAATGCTGATTCCTCTTCCATTAACTTTGGAAAGCTTTTATTTAGCAATCTCGGGGTGAAAAATGATGGGATAGCAGCCCTATTTGGATAAATTATCCTACAATTAAACTGACTTGTACCTTCTAGGAATTTTTTTCTTTTCCTAACTTTTCATTATTCAAATAAAAATAAATGTTCTGTAAGTGCAGGCATGAGATTTCATTCACGTTGGGGTGCTGTGTGTATGCCCAATCCGTGGCTAGCCCAGCTGCCTCTCCGCACACTTCTGCAGGTGTAGTCCCTCTCTGGGCTGGGCCTGCAGCAACTCAGGGACTTGTGTGCACAAGGAGGTGTCCTGTCTCTTTTCCTTTTCCAGCAAACCCTGCTGTATCCCCCCACCCTTTTCCCTTCTCGTTTGGGATAGCATACTCCTTAACCCAAAGACTCTCACCAGTCTGGAATTGTAGATAGGTGATTTGATGGGGGATGGCATTGGGCAGCTGATCCGTTTTTCCTTCTGGCGCCGGTTGCAGAACCAGACCCGAACCACCTCCTTTTCCATGGAGAGCTGCTCTGCTATCAAGGATATCTCCTCTGAACTGGGCTTGGGGTTCTGCTAAGAAAGGGCAGGAGGTTAAAGGAAGCCCCAAAAAGCTGTAACTCACAGCATCCATGTACGCTTCTGCTGCTGGAAAGGCAGAGGGCAAGGGTGGGGCTGGCTGTAATATGAGGAGGGAAGAAAATCTGCTTCTAAGACAAAGGGTAAATGTTTGGGTGAGAGCTTACGTTCTGTGAACCAGAAAGTGCCTCTGATTCAACATCAGGTCTCATGGAATCAGTGGGGGATGAGTCACACTCCCTGGCCCTGTTATTGCATAAAGCACCAGGCTCTTTGATCTTAACAGCTCCCTGAATCATTGCTTGGGGGGAAGCTAACAACTGGTGGTCATCTTATCACTACACGGGACACAGGAGCTCGGAGTGCTGTTCATACACCTACCTGCCCCATCTCAGAAAAAACATTTCTACTCTTTCTTCCTCCACCCCTCATTTATAAAGGGAAATAGTAGCACCTACCCTTTCTTCTGAGTCACTTATTTTCTGGTGCATTTGACAGTATTTAGCTCTGTGGGTTTTGATCTGAGTTGGATACCTGAGGGTCAGAAATACCTAGCATGGACATGCCAAGACAGTTTTCCCATTACAAAGAATGGCTCCTACTAGCTAAAAATGAAGTGCCTATAATGACCTGACAAGGATTATCTTTTGTTCTCACTTAGGAGGAAACTTTGATATGATCACAAATGAGGGAGAAACCAAAAAGAAATAAGGGCTACAGTTTTGATGAAAATTTTTCAATGGGCAAGTTGGTCCTGCTGATTTAAAGCTCTGTTTGCTCTCTGTAACAATTTTTCTTAAAAAGCTTGATGCTTAAAAAGTAAAAGGCTCCACTTCTAAAATGATTCAACAGCAATATCTGGAGCAACTAGTTCTGTGGTCTCACAAGACCTGATTAACGGGGCATCCGTTTCCGTGCTGCACCGTGGCCACACCGTTCCCGTGACACATGCCTGCAACTCGCAGAGGAAAGAGGTGGGTGCAGGAGATCAGCTTTGACTGGGCACCGGTCAGTGGATGGAAATGGGGAGGTGTAACGATGAAATCGTAATTCCTTTAAAACAACATTTACCAAGGAAACTATTTGGTCTGATTTCTTTGGTGCTGACACTTCTCCCATTAGCCCCTTCAAGCATTTTCTAACCTGCTATCAAAACAAACAAACCAAAGAGATCTCTTTTTTTTTGGAGGATTCACTGCTCCTGTGACCTAGCAAATGCCAAACGCAGAGAGTCCACAAGACATTGAAAGATTTTCCCCTCACATCTTGAAATCTTTTCTCCAGAGTGGAGCGAATGTTGGTCTCAATGCTGGTTCGCTTCTTTCTTTTCCGTCCAAACATCTCATTCACTGAGGGGTAGGAATTGGGAGTGCTCATGGAAGAATCCAAAGGAGCAGATTCTAGGGGAGGAGAGAGGGGAAGAGAGATATTCAAGAAGATAATGAGTTATTTTCATTCCTAGATCCTTCCTGGGAACTATGGCATATCCTAAAAGTAAGTAAAATATGCCTGTATTGTGGATCCCTCCTCTGATGATGATGAAAATTGCTCCAACAGTCCCAAATCCATCTATGGTCTTATCCAAATCAGGAAAGAAATATGAGAGCCACAATTTTAATCAACACACTATTTTTCCTTTTTTTCCAGCCTCCTCTGCTGGGGGCCACACATTTTCCAATTATTTCACTTCACGCTGTAAAAGGTGTTGACTTACAGCACTGAGATCAAGCCCTCACATAGCTGAGACACCTCCAGACATAAATTGGTCAAAAATGCCACTCCTGAAGGGCTGGGTGCAGCACATGAGACTAATGCCACTCGTGCAGCAGCTTGCAGGCGGCAGAGGACACCAGCCCAGTACTGCTGCTGCTGGGGTTTCCCCTTGCAGCAATACCTTCCTTTTCTAATTACTGCTCATGGGCTGGTCTCTGAGCACTCTAGGAGTCCTCCCTTCCTACTCTTTCCAGTTTACACAAGAAGGGACTGAATGGACTAGCCCAGCGGTTTGCCCCAGGCCGTACAACAACACAGAGGAGATGCAGGAAGGGAATGCCCCAGACACCAAGCTGCCGTGTCAATCCCGTATTGCCAGAGAGAAAGGACAGCTGTGGTTTGATATCTAGGCTGCTATGCAACCTGCTGTGTGATCCACAGTGGAAAACAGTCTGTTACTAGCCAGCCAGAGATCTGAGACGTCTTAGCTCCAGCTCTGATTTTCCTGTATTTTATTGGAGGCTCCTGGATGGATCCCCTCATCCTGGCCGAGACTCCAGGACTGGTGGCGTTTCTGCACAGAATGTCACCTACCTGCATCACTCAGCCACTTCTCCAGCAGAGGTTTGAGCTTGCACATATTCTTAAAGCTCAGGTTGAGAGCCTCGAAGCGGGAAATGGTGGTCTGGCTGAAGTCATTGCCATAGAGCTTCCCCATGGCAAGTCCCACGTCACCCTGCCAGAGAAGATCCAAATCGCAACATGAGCTCAGAAAAAACCCCCACAGCTTCCTGCTGTCAGACCACCTCCCAGCATAGGTGCAGCCCAGTTTTCATGACCTGCCTTCCAGAGAAAGTGAATTCTCTTCCCATGGGAGTCTGCCCCACACCCCTGAGACTTTGTGCATCGAGAAGGTGCAGATATGAGGTCACGGTAAGGAAGTACTAGGTAGGGTTTGTCTCTTCATGTGTTTGGAAGGGGATGCTCCAAAGAAAGCCAACCTGTGTCTAATCCAGCCCTTCCTCCATCCACTCCTCTCTCAGCCCAACATATCCACATGGCAAGCAAGACCACCCTTCCCACGGACGATGCTGCCCACCTGCGTGAACCCCAATTTGATTCGCCTTTGTTTGAAAGTCTTAGCAAACTTTTCCAGCTCCTCCAGGTCACTGGGTTCCTCAGATGCTCCCGTCGGAGTGAGGTGCTTTGCCACTTGCAAATGCTGGGGTACGTCCAGGTGGGGTTCAACCGATGACCCGGGGAGTCCAGAACGGCCCACAGCCTGTTAAACAACAGCAAAGCCGCAGAGTGTCACGACAATAGAAAAGCGCACCATTTCCTCAGCCTTTTGCCCTTAAGGAAGCAACAGTTTTGGTAGACGGGTGCTTCTCAGGGTGGGACTTTGTGGGACTGAACACTGAGGCAAGTTACCTGTGATGCCAGGCTGGGTCCCGGCTGGGAGAGGAGAAGGCTGCCCTGTTGCTGAGGGAAGGAGAGGATGTTTGGCTGCAAAGCTGAGGAAAGAAAGAGAGATGCATCTGATCAGACCAGCTCCTTCATCAGCACCTGGGCAGCTGAGCATCACACTGCACAGGAAAGACTCTTGAAGCTCTGAATGGAAAATATCAGCTACCTCTTGTTCATAATATCAGAATTCCAGCCACTACAAACGTGGATGGCTCTGAGCTGGATTACGAGAAAGGAAAGGCTCTTTTCACAGCTTTTTAACCTGAAAGGGATTATTACAATAATGATATGGGTAAAATATCTCACCCACTGATCCCTGCAGGTAGACATTTTGCAGAGACATCTGACTTTGATTTTAGATGCCAAGCAGCAGAGAATTTACTACATCCTTAGTGTGATCTCTCCCAGCACTTAATCATTGTAGCTGCTAAAAAAGTGTGCATCTTATTTCCAATAGAAGCTTTTTTGACTCTAACTTTCAGCCACTTGATCTTGTTAAAAAAAATCCCAATCCTACAGTTAATCTCCTGAGCCTACCCACTCTGCTTTCAACTATACATTTCATTTTCAAGTGTCATTTTAAAGCCATCTGACCCTTTCTTTTCTACCTTACTGTATTTCAAATAAATTGAATTTCTTTTGGAATATATAAACTGACACAAAATGATGAAAGGAAAAAAGAAGAGAAATCTATAAAACTAACAAAACCTAGTATTTATGGAGACTGCATAATTGTTTAGTTGACAAACTGCCAGGTACAGGCCTATATCTCTTACAGGGAATGTCCTAAAGATTAAATAGCAACTGAGGCAGTGTAGGTCCCTAGAAATTTACTTAGGTTCTTCAAGTCTGTTGTGGGTGAAACCTACAGAATATAGTGAGAATTTATAGCCTTTCATGAAACAGTCAATATATTCTATTGATTGTAACTGACAATTATAGGGAAAACTATAGAAATTTATGGACTTCTGCTAAAAAACAAATTAAATACAATCTCCAGAATCAATCACTCCCTCCTCTCTCTTTTTCTGTCCTTCCTTTTTTAATTTAGATCTGAATGTGCAGGATCCCATTTATTTATTTAGATTGGTGTTTCAATAAGCCTCTCTAATGCTGGAACAACTTTGAATTTCAAATGCAGGCTGGTAATGAGGTGCACATTTTTAACAGGGAAGGTAATTAATCACCAGAATGGCTTGCCTAGGGACATGGCGGATGCTCTGTCATTTGGAGTCTTTAAAATCATGATTGAACACCTTTGCAAAAGCTCAGCTCTAGCTCAAATGAAAATTATGGACTGGATTCAGGAATCACCGGTTTGACAGCTGATGAGACCGAGGCTGTGTTTTCGTAAGATGAAGACTTCAGCAGCAATATGTTGGCTGACAGCATTCCCAGCATCTACCTGGCTGCTTGTTTCCACTTTCATGGCACAGAGCGCTCATCCCCTTGATCACGTGTGCCCTCATTAGCTGTTTGAAGGGCTGCACAGTGAAGCAGATCAGGGCATAATGAATCAGACCTGGGAAGCTATCTGGCTTAAAACCAGCTTTAAAACACTAAAGCCAAACCAAAACACATGTCCTCTTGGAAAGGCTAAGCTCACAGCCAAGTCCCTTTGGCCATGAAATCCATGAAGTGATGTACCCTTCAGGCAGAACTCAGGAAACAACGAGGGTGTCCCCATGGTGGCCCGAGGGACAACTTCAGGAATATTTCATGCATCTCTTTGGTATGAAGAACACTCCACCTCTATCTGTACCAAACAACTAATTCCACAAAACCTATCTGTGCCTTCGTTTTTACTCCCCAGTGGCTGTGCATGCAGTGAGTCATTAAAACTCAGCAATCACCCATTCAAATGGAAGTTCTCTTCCACAAAAAGCCAGCTACTGGCTGGAATATCCAGTCTTTATCAAGTCTGGATCCAAAAGGGGTCATGGCTAAACCACTGGCCATCTGTTGGAGGGGTAATTGCGGCCAAAGGAAGTCACATAACAGAAGAAACCCTAACTCTGTAAAAGGAAGCAAGTTTTCTTTTCCAGTATAAGATGTTTCCTGTTATACATGGATAAAAGCAGATGGTAAGCAATAGGTTATCCTGACCCTGCCATTTCAAACAAACTAAATTCTAGATTATTGTTAACTATACATCTATTGGTTTCTTTATACAACACTTAGGGTCATTTGACAGAGAGAAGAGTTTATATACTGTCAATGAGAAATAGTTTTCCCACTTGCCTACAGTATAGGTTTTCTTTTGGACGTATGTACCAGCAGCTTCCAGCTGCAGAGATGTTGAATTTTAATTCTGAAGTTTGATTCATACAGTGGGAACTCTGTGCTGGAATAAATCAAGAATATGGGCAAATAACCCAAGTCCCTTTGCATCTGTCAGGTTATGGATCAAAGACTGTATTTGTCTGTCCATAAGCAGCATAAAACTTCATCAACGGCATACCTGTATACCTGTTGTTGGAGAAATGCCATAAAAAATATTGGTGGTGAAAAGAGAAACAGGGGGACTTTTTAAGCACTGAGTTCAGCCCTCAGTCCTTCCATCCCTTTCATGAAGCTGATCACACTCTGTTTCAGAAGTAGTTGGACCTCTTGTCCTCTCCTGCCCCATGGGTTGGATTTGGGAACAACCACTGGCAACTCCAAACCTCTCAGCTCTCATCTGCATGTTGCTCCTGGCTAGGTTAGCCCTGTTTGTTGTAGTGCCAGCATCATCCTTGCACCAGAGCAGCTCAGCTCCTTCCCGGTCTGAGGTACTTAGAGGGATCATCTCAGCCCTCACCACATCACCTTCCAGCGAGGCTGGAAGCCCAGGCAGGCTGCAACTGTTCCCCAGGGAGCAGGCTCCTTGCCGTTTTGCTGGAAGCCAACCAGAGGCTGTGGAACTGCAGCATCCCTGGCAGGTCTGCGAAGGCTGGCCCCAAGGTGGCACTCGTGGCGCACACAAGCCACAGGTGCCAGGAGCATCTCCGGATCTGGACCCTTCCCGGAGCAACCAAGCACCCACGGGAGCGTGCCAGGAGCATGAGGAGCACCGGGGGAAGAGCAGGGGAGAATGCATCTCGTAACACAGCAGGGGAAGAGACAGCATCATGCTGGGAAAACACAACACACCAGATTTAGAGCAACAGTCATTTGGAGTGGGGCGTTCCTAGATAAGTGTCTACTCATAACAATGCCCCTTTCAGCCTTTTTTGCTCTTACCTTGTTGCCCGGCCTGAGACTGAGACAGAAGAAACTGGGGAACTGACTGCATATGACCAGGAAGCAGTACAAGCTGCTGCAGGGTGTGAAGAGAGCTCATATCCTGCGGGAAAAAGCAGAGGGAACAACCAAACTCAGAGGTGTCTGCTTTTCACACAGCATCACCTCTCCTAGAAAGCTTCCCCGCTCTTTTATACTGTCCTTGACCCTATTCACACTTTTCATTTAATTGCCAACACACTGGGTTTGTGTAATTCATGCAGTGTAGAGCTACAGATCCAGACGTACTCCAAGATCTGAAGTTTTCGGCTGTATAACAAGAATTCTGTGCACACACAGACATCCACATGGAAAACTACCTCCTTTTATCTGAAAAAAATAAATTGTTGGAACATTACATTTTCGAGGCACTGGCAATCAAACCCTAGTTGTTAGGAGTAACAGTGAAACCTCTTGAATTTCAGTCTCTTGCAGATAATGTACTTTCAGAGAGTGAACCCCTTAAAATGACACAGAAAAGTGCAGCTGACTGTCCCACCTCACAAACACGGAGAGCCTACTTTCCACAGAGGGCTGATTTCCCAGCCAGCCACATGCTAATATGGGGGAGCAGCAATGCCCAACAGCAGCCGATTGTCTGCACCAACAGCAAACTCATTGCAATGGACACAGGGACCAGACCTGAAAAAACCTGTCCTGTTCTTTGCCAGGGAGCTGCCAAGAATTCCCTACCCTGCACTGGGCAGAGCAGTCAATAGGTACAGGGAGATGAGGATTACATCCCAGCGCTCTTTCAGATTATTGGCGTACCAGTTCCAGGCCCTTTGTTGGGATTAGGGGATAAGAGTTTGCATTTGCATGGGATACACACCAAAAAAAGCCCAAAGCCCCAGTAAGACAAACTCTCTTTAGAGGTACATATTTAAAGGAGCTCATTACTCAATGAGATGAGCTTTTGGAACTTCTCAAGAACTGTTTTGAAGCTTTGGGGAAATTGAACAGTCCCTGAATTGTGTATGGGATCTGAATACCCCACAAAAGAATGAGGGAAGAGATTACTGAGCAGCTGTGTGGCCTTCTGGCATCTAAATCCTACTAGAATTTAACAAGAGTTAAGTGCTAAACTCTGATTTTTCACCTTAGGAAAAGAAAAAAATTCCCTCAAGGACTTAATTTCTTCTCTGTTGTAAATCAGCCTGAGGCCACATTGAAGGGTGGCTATGCTGGTTGAGATCAAGCATTAATCTAGTCTAGAATACTATCTCCAACAATGGTATTACCCAGTGTTCATGGAAGAGGAAGACCATGGCAAGCGTATCTAACACTTCCCCTTGGTGTTGTCTCAGCCTCCAATTATTTTCAGTCCAAGGGATTTCCTAAGAATTGTGTGGTTTGCCTGCCGAGTAAACCCTCCAATGGAATCTATTCCAAGTACGTGTCCAGTCTGCCTTTGAACCCATGTAAAACTTTCCGCAGAAAAGAGGCTGAGGAGGAAGCTGACTTTTGCTAACACAGATTCACTTTTCCGGTTTAGGGTCCATCATACCCTCAAGTCTCTTCCTGCCGCTGTCAAAAGGCACACCTAACTTGGCGAGTGCCTCAAAACCAGCCTCTTCTCCGGAGGTTCACAAACCAGTGCCCTTTCAGGCTTCTGGATCCCTGAAGCAGTGAAGTCACTTACCCCTGCAATTTGGCTCCCAGGCATCATTGATGATCCCTGCACAAGGTGACCTGACCTAGGGGGGATTGTAGACTGCAAAGAGTCGCTGAGGTCTTCGGTTTTAATCTGAAAAAGAGCAAAGTAATTGTAGCATTAGAGAGTGGAGAAAAGGGGATGCGGGAGGTCTGAGAGGGAGGGGCTCCTTGCAGAGGAAAGTTGGACATCAGGACTCCCACCCTTGGCTTAGCAGCAGGGCATGGTCGTTCCCCACTTCTGCTCTCCAGTTTATAACATGGACATAGGTTTCCAGCTCTGCCAAGCCAAGGGAGGCTTCCAGTTTGGGCAATTAAAACAAGTTAATTAAAACACTTTAGGAAGTAACCAAGTTCCAGTGACTGTGCAGGGTTTAAAGCATGCAAGTACTTTCATCAGACATAACACTGAGGCATTTTGTGGAGTTATAAGGAAGACATGAATCAGTTCTCCTTTACCGATCACGACTCACAGCCTGATGGTGGGGCTGGCTATAGATGGCCTCTCATTTACTTCTCCAGGTGGCAGAGAACATTATAAGGGGATGCTAAAGGAAAGGTCATGAAGTAAAAGACCACAATCTTCCAGACCTGACAATGCAGCACTCCAAATGCCAAATGTATTTGTTCAACTTCCATCAGAAAACAAGAAATGGCACTGGTCTGACAAGGAAAAATCTGCTTCCTTAGTTAGAATGAGCTGTGGGAAAAGAACTGGGCAATTTCACATATGTCCAGTGGTCATTTGGACCTATTTTTATGTTCAAGAAAGAGTCCTGTCTAAAAATAAATAAATAAATAAATATAAAAGATTTCTGGGTCCACATTCCTAAGAGAAGAATTTACCCAGGAACCAGAACCTTGTGTCTGGGTCATTCTATAGCCTCCATCTTGATTTTTAACATTACTACTACATTAAACAAGCAAACAAAAACCTGTTGCATCACTTTGTACTAGCTGAAATCCCTTGGTAAGGCTGACTGGGACAGGAGAGAGCAGAACCTGGTTGGGGAAAGTTTAAAAGTTTTTAGGTTATTTCCCAAAAGGTGTTTGAGGAGTGTCTATGTGCAGATGCCATGCACAGGAGACAAGTCACACAGAGCTCTTATAACACATTTTCTCTAAGAAAATACCCAAACAAAAGATTTCCAAACTTAGGCTTATGTTTCTCCTAAGCGTGAGAATGCCTCGAAGAAGGCTCACACCGTCAGTCCCATTCCTGCCTTTCCAGTGCAGGAAGAGGCTCCAGTTTCCACAAACTGGAAAAACCAGGAGGACACCAGAAAGGACAGGTCTTGAAAACCCCGTCCACGGGCTCAGCATTGCAGATTCACTCTTAATACCAGGGCTGAACCTCACCATCTCCCATCAGATTACAGCCGAGCCCAGCGTCCCCCAGAAGCCCAGCGGGGTGGCCTTTGCGGGGGCTTTGCAGTGCTGCCACGGCCTTCAGGTCACACAGCCTCCTGCCAGCAGAGGGGATGAGAAATTCAGCTCCTAAAACAATGGCCCAAGCAAATATTTTTGACTGAAGGCGGTTTTATTTCAATCGGACTAAAGCAAACAAATACACAGATTTCCACAGGAGCAGGAGCAAAGGAGCGAATGTGGCTGTAAGAGGCTCGCAGCTGCAGTGCGGGGAGCGTGCCCTGTGACATTAGCCTCTGAATTTTGGAAGGTGCTACACAGAGGGAAGAGAATTACAACATCTCCTTTGATTACAACTATAGCTCCGGACACTGCCGAAACTAGTTTTGCAATAATACTAGCTCCTTGCGACAAGAGTTATACGCATGCTATGAATTCCAGTTCTTTTCCTACCTTTCAGGTTGGCATGATCATCCCTCTTAGCCTGGTGAAAAAAATCAGATGGAAAGATCTTCTTGATCACTATCAATGCGGATAGTGTCTCGGTTACTAAATGGTAGACAAAAGGCTCAGGAGAATACACCGTTACCCCTGAGCCATCCAGTCATTGCAGGCAAATGGTTTTATGCCCGTTTTTCCTTCTGAGGGCGCATTAAAGAGAAGTCATCCGAGCCAAAAAGTAAAAATAAATTAAAAAAAATAAATAAATTACCCCTGCTTGCAATTCATGTGTGTCTGCCTCACACCACGCAGTCATCCAAGTCTGAACAGTTCCAAAAAGAGAAGTTATCCACGTCTCAGAGAACAAGGCACTTGATCCTGCCTAAGTTATGATCCCAATAGGAGTGGAGTGTTGAAGAAGCACAAGCCATTTCCAAACTGAAATCAATTTTTACAGCTGCCAAGCGGAATGATTTGGAAGCGTTCCAGGGTGAAAGGGGTGTGTAGCTGCATCCCGGCATCGCACAATATGAGAACGGGAGGTGGGTTTGGCAAAGGACCGGTTCCCAATTTAAAAACAACAACATCTCCCACTGCTCCTTCCCCCGTCCCTGGAATTCTCTGGCTCCCTCCTGCGCAGTGGGCGGGAGCTTGGGTGTTCTTGACAAATCCTTCTCCCCTGCACCTATTTTCATTGGGTTTAGTCTCAAATTTACCTCTCCCTCCTCTTCCTCTCCACAACAGGCCCGCAGCTGGCTAATTGTTCATTAGCAAGAGTTCGGGGTATATCCAAAACTTTTGGGATGGTTTATGCAAATCCTGCACCTTCATTTTTTTCCCTGGTTAAACCGGCAGTATTACCAACCGTACATTCAAAAAACCAAAACCCAAAACCCCAAAAAACCACACACATTGTGGGCGAGGCCACTCAATATCATGAGACTCCCTTAAAACAATGTAAATCTCAAATTAATAAAACGAGGGGAGGAGCTGCCTTCTCCTTTCCCAGTGCATCTGACTCACATTTGCAGGCATTTTCTGCAAACATGAGAAAAGTTTTCTTTAAGGAACCAAAAAAAAAAGGTTAAAATTATCACAGATTCACCTCACGTAGGTATTTGATGAGAACCTTGCCAAAACATTGCAAGTGAGCAACAGTGATTTAGTTAAAACCAGGACCAGAGACCACTGGTTCCTCAGGACCTTGGTTTTACACCAATGGGCAGGACAGATGGGGAGCAAGAATTCGTTGAGAGCAAACGTAAGGTTCTTCCCATTGAATTTGATTTGGGGAAATAAGACGGAGGGAAAATGAACCTGTGAAACAGCGGGCCCCAGCCATGTGCAGTGAACACATCCTGCTCAGCCACAGCTGTGGCAAGACGTGGAGATGGGGCTGCTGGCTGAGAATCTCCAGCCACTTTCTTCCCCCTGGACTCGTGGGGAATCTCCAGGCAGGGCCAGGAGCATCTTGGAGCTCCTCCCGAGGAGGTAACGGCAGGCGGCGGCACTGGTACGCAGAGCTACCTCAGGCTTCTCTGGGATAAGAAAGGAATCACACTTGCAAATCTCAAGTGGATGTTTTCACGGCCTTAAAATAGGGTCAGCTTCCCCCGAGCAATCAGAGTGAAAAACACAGGAAGGGTGACTGGATGGAAAGAGAGTCCTTTCCTGAGTTGGCTAGCACAGCTGCTGGGCCTGGCCAAGGATGGATTGTTTCTTACCTATCTCTGGCCTAAAAACAAAAACAAAAAGCAAAACAAACTAAGAAACATATTGAGGGCGATGGAAAATGATCAAAGCTCTTCAGCTTGCTTGCGTAACCGATTTGTGGAAGGTGTTTCATAAACATTTCATAAGAAAGAGAATTATGAAGAAAACATCTCCCAACCTGCCTGCAATTACTGCACAAACTCTTCCTTACCAGTAGGAAGAAGGGAAGAAAAAAAAAAAAAGTACATCTGTTTTGTAACTGATCTGTGAACTTTTGGCAAACATACGGCTCATGAAAACATCCTGCAGACATATTGCAAAGCTGTAAAAAGCCAGCCTTACAGGAGGAAGTTGGAAAAATTCACCTTAGCAGCTCTGATTTCACCGTGTGGAAGGCCGTACCCTTCCCACAGACCGACTGACCCGCACCTGATTCGATGGATGGATGGTCAGGCCCCACCGGTGGGGCAGGACTCTGGCTGCAGCCCCCCCTTGTGTAAGCCCATCTTAGGGTCACTGCTCACTGGTAATCTGCATCCATCTTCCTTGTCTGTTAGCAAAGCAGGCAGCCTGAATGCAGCCCCAAGCCACCTCCTTTTGACGAGCCCTTCTGAGGTCATGCAAACACCACGCCACCATCCTCTTTGCAAAGGTGGGACCCACCGACTGATTCAGCACCCAGAGCCTCGGGTGCCTTCCCCAAATCTAGGTAAGAGATCCCCATGCCCTGCCAGAGTGAGGCCGTTAAAGCCATGTCAGCCCTCTCCAGTACCAGTTATTAGGCAGGGACTGCGGTCGTTATTGTAAGATAGAAGACAATCCTATTCGTTGTGTAGTTTCTATTTAGACAGTAACCTCTTGGAAACAGATATTTATCTGCCTTCGTATCTGGTTTATCTCACAGTCAGCAACTCAAAATTGTTTAAGAGTTTGACTGACTCATATCCCTCCCTCCCCTCACAGCAGAGTGGTAAGGCTGTTTCACTGCATCAGGTGCACACAGACTTCAGAGGGTCTGCACCTATTGCCCCTGAACCAGTGAACAGCATGGTTCTTCCAGGGCCGAATCACTCCCAAAGAGCTCTTCAAGACAACAGGGCTGCCTGAAGCTGCTCCAAAGTTATTTGCCTGAAGTCAAGGGAGGAAGTTCTATGATAGAAACGGGTATCAAGACCGGATCCAAGGCTACTGCAGTTAACTAAGCCTTCCCACCTTCCAATGGCATAAGTGTACTTGTCTGTGAATTACCTGCACACGTGGGCCCCATAAAATAAAAAACACACTAATAATAAATTATAGCAATAATAATAATGGGCTTGCAATTACTATTTCCACATGTAGTATCCTGCACGTACGGCAAGGCTTAACAGACACCCAGGAAGACGGAAAAAAACCCCTTATGTCAATGCAACAATATTCACCCTATAGCATTTGGTATCCTCTCTGAAGGGTGGGGTTTTTCAGAAACCGGCAGCGTAACAAAAGGGGAGTTCATTCCACGCTGAATGCCTAACACACTATATCCTAAAACTCAGTAATGGCAGCACACTGAAGAATTAAAGTGCAATCCCT